TGGTGCACCTGCCCGCAAAATCTACGTCTGACCGTGACCTGTCCGGATCACAAGCCAGGGTAGCAGATCACAACTTTAGATATTCACCGACTGCAGAATTGTCTTCGGTTTCACCCAGGTACGTTCGAGACATTTATTCGCGTAGTTGAAAGCTTCTTGTTGTTTCATTATTTGGATATGATTTAAGTGCTCTGCCGAATGTCTGTGAGAAACGTGTTCGTCTGCAAATCCACTCGCCGAGCTGCAAATGAGATTTGCATTGCACAATGTATTTTTTTCTAATCAGCCTTTTCAGGATTCGTTTGCCAATAATCAGTTCAACTGCTGCTGTATATTTGAGAAAACCACAGTGTCTCATATCATAGTTTTGCCGTTCAATGTACTTTCTCACCTTCTCCGTATGCCCCTACTTTTACTTTTGATCGCCTAACTCCTGCGGGAGGATAAGTCGGCTTCCTGGATGTCTCTAATGATGGCGGTCCATGCATGACGATCGGCAGCAAGGTTGACGCAGTGTGAGACCCAGTTCTGGCTCCAGTTACGAATTCCGTATACGGATTGGAGGCCAAGTAATTGCAAGTCCGCCTTGATTGTACTGTCTTTAGTTGAACACTGAATCAGCAACGCCATCCACGGCAAGGTGTGGGGGCTACAGCCTGTAGCGAGAGTTGTATCGGGCCTTCTGAGCAAATGGCCAAACAACTGAAGACCTTGGTGTTGTGACTTTTAAGAAAGCGTGTCAATGTTTGAGCAGCGCCGTCGAACCTCATCATTGGAAATCCGATCTCTGCAATTTGCTTTCAAGATGCGGCGTAGGCACCAATGATCAAAGACCTCAGGTTTCTTTGTATCTTGTACCCTTATTTCGCATCGATCCTACAACGGTCTAAGGAGTTGCAGGAAGGCTGTTCTAGCTCCTTCTACACGGAGTTGGATTTCATTCTTAGCCTGACCGTTTGGTCCTATTGTAGAGAAGAGATAATGGAAGACTTCATTTCATTCGACAAGCTCCCCGTTATTCGAAAGGGGTTCTGTCGTGGCAGAAGTTTCGGTCGAAAATGTCTTGGTTTTTGACGTGTTGATCTCTATCCCACTGATTTGGCTAAGCTGATTCATGCCAGTGGCAACATTCTGGAGGTTGTCCATGTTGTTCCCAAGTACAACGAGATCACCCGCAAACTTGAGGTCAGCAATCTTTGTACTCCAGGGTAGTCGATCAGTGCTTGTCGCATTATCCAATCTACGATGTAACTGAATAACACCGGCAATGAGAGACAACCTTGCCCTACATCAGATCTTAAGCTAAACTCAGCCGATTCTTCTTCATAGGTACGGAGACGTGCCCGAGTCCATCAATTGTACGACTTCAAAAGCCGAATGAGCTTTTCGGACATTCCGTCGAACTGCAATATGCACCACAAGGATTCCCTATCTACAGAGTCAAAGTTAGTGCGGAAGTCGATGAAACATGCTGCGGTAGGCCGTTGGAACTTGTAGCGGTGTTCCAGTATCCTACGGCTAGTGAAGGGTTGTTCAACACATTTTTCTCCACGTCGAAACCTCTGTTGATTCGAACGGGTGCGGGTATCTCTGACGACTTCGAGGCGGTGAAGTAGTATCACTGCAAACAAGTTGACCGCAATATCAATGAAGTTGACACCCGTGTAACTTTCTCATTTTGATCTGTCACCGCTTTTGGGAACAGGAAGTAAAATTTAAGTTGCCTGACCTTTTGGAAGAACTACTCTTTCCCGAATGGGGTGGAAATGAGAATGCAGCGGATCGATCAGAGTTGGTAGACAAGCTTTGAATAACTCTGGTGGGATCCCGTCTTCTCCAGGTGGCCTTCTGGTATTTCAGAGAAGTGACTGCATTGACGATTTCTATCGTACTAGGTGGGTCACAATTAATGTCGTATATCTCAGAACTGCTTGGTACCCGTGGAGAGCCAGGTTTATTTGACGGGTGGTTGTGCAGCCCTTCGAACTGTTCGACCCACCTTTGCATTATCTGTTTATTTCCCTGAATGGCCTGTAGTGTTGCGCAACAGTGGCTTCGATTTCTTTCTCTTTTCTGCTGCGACACGGATTAGACGAAATAGTCTTCCAAAGTCCGCTCGACGGTTGCAACCTCCATGCTCTCTGCAATCGCCTTCCAGCATTGTTTGTGGTCCCTCTTGGCGGAGCGTGTGACTATGCCCTACACGTCACCCAACGTGGTTTTGTGTCTTTGAGTTTACATCCCGCCTAAGTAGTCATGTACCAAAACATGAAGTGTTGGACACAGTGAGTGATACAACCGGATATTCAAGGACTCACTTAGGTTCAGTTTGCACCCAGCCTTCGCTTGCATTTATTTTGGTTGTGGTCTTTCGACTATCAATTGTGTGAATCAAAATAACGGATTTAAAACTTTAAGGGCAGATCCGCGGATAAGTAAACCGAACTCATCTGGGTTAGATGTGAATACCGTTTTTATATCCCTTTGGGATTTTGAGGTCACCTTTCTCGTGGGTTTCTTGTTTTCAAGATTTCCTGCCGAGGATCTTGAACTATTTGTCTAAAGTGATACTCGTCTTTCTTAGTCTCATTATCCTCTGGATTTGTTCTACTAACCAGGTCCCCGACAAGTTTTGACTCTCTCCTCCATATGATTGATCAAGTTTGTGCCTCGCTTGAAAACACATTTCGTCCGGACCCAGCACTCAGTTCCGGTTTGTTCAATCCGTCGGAGAGCGGGGAGACAGCGAATGCTCACGAACTATCGCAAATCATTGACCCTGTGGTCAATGACACATCGCTCCGACCTGCAGATACGTCCTCCGTGACGTCCGATACGCATCAAGCGTGCTCCAATGAATGTACATCCCTGCCCACTGGTGATTTGGACGTGGAGCGAAATGTGGATGTTCCTCGAAAGATTCCCGCTCGAACCCGAGCCAAGCTAGCTTGGATTCAAATGCAACCTCATCGCTCCTTACCCGCCCGATTCTCATGTGCAGCACGACACTCGGATGATGATGATGACGAGACTATTCAGGTTCGTTTTCCCATCCGTAAGCAGTCTTTTTTATGATATTGCCTCCTTTCGGTCGAATATTTTCAACTATATTCATATTGGATCCCTGAGATGACTTTTGTAGCTCAACCTTGTTCGCAGTTTTATTCTTATTACTTTTATATTTATCGTCATTAGTACGAAAGCCATCACGGAGGTCGATGGATTTCGATTCTCGTGGGCGCATATCCGTATCCCTGGAAGATCTTTTGTGACATATTTCATAATCAAAACAGCGATTCAGAAGAGTTCAAGAATTTATCATAGATATGTCAGAAAGATATAACGGCCAAAATCATTTAACCGGTATGGTTCAATTCATACAAGTCAAGTCAAGTCAAGTCAAGAAGCGGCTTTAATTCTCCCTATAG